CCCCAAAACCCCAAAACCCCAAAACCCCAAAACCCCATAATTTTTAAGAGAAATTGAGTAATTCCATTAATCTTTTGGGGTATTTTGATCCTTTGTTGAGCTAAAGAACCCTTCTGCGGTCTTATGAGTAATTTTAAGGTTCTTTTTGAGATTCTTGGTAGAATTCATATTGAACTTTGTCATGTCGTAAGGGCTTGGGAATACCTCACTTGTAGCATTGGATTTATATTTTCCAACTCTGATTCTATTACTTCCTAAGCTATTCTTATCAAATTTAGTAAGAGTTTGGTAATTCTTGTTGCAATTATTCAGTGCTTCATTGTAATCAGCAATCAGAAGTCCTCTGAAATCTGCAGCTAGGAAGGGACTACTTATGCCTGTATATTTCGGCTGGTTGTGCAATCTATCAAATTTCTTGGTATCTGCAAAGGACAATGGTTTTAATATATGAGTCATTCGATTAGTTGGCTCAGGTAAAGGTTCAAGGATCGGTTCCACTTGTGTATTCTTCATATTCTTGAGACTATGAGCAAATTTTGTCATAGTTAAATCGGTACTTCTATTCCTATTCATTATCATTTGATCATCTTCTCTAGAAACATTAGAATATCTGATATTAGGATCTTCAATGTTCACTCTTTCAAGGAAATCTTCTCTCTTAGTAATTATGCTTGCATCATTATCATTAGGAAGATTAAGACTCTCATTAGTAATAATATGATCAATTTCACTTATATCGTCTTTTACTTTAACAGATTGTGTCATTGTGCCTCCTAAAATTGAGAGATATTATTACTCAGTCTTGAGTCATTAGCAGCTTGTCTGAGACTTCTGTAATGTTAAGGAATTGTCTTACCTGAAATTATTTACGCAAACCACTCCTTTTAAGTAAGTCAATCTGGTCATCATGCCTCTTATTTCAACTATGAGAAAAGGTAGGATAAAGTTTGGTAAAATTGGCAAATGTTGGAGAAATATCCTTACACTATTTCTAAGATGTTGCCTTTGCTCTTGGATCCACATCTGATGCATTGTATCAAGCATCTCTTCGTTCTTGATCCGCTCCATTATTCTAGAGACTGCTTTTTGATCCATCTTGACAATGTTTGGCCTGATGAGTTTATTTAACCTCTGGTGCAGGTAGAGCATTGAAAGCTTCCCAAGCATTTTTATTGCTGACAAATGGCTTAGTTGGGTCACGGAAAGTCGTGGATCTTTTTGTTGAAAGCAGCTAATATTCATGAAACTCCAGCAAACTTACATCAAATAGCTCCTTATCATTATCCTTAATGTCGCGGATATCTTTCAAGTCAGTCTGTCTACCCAAGGACTGGTTGCATTTATATTGGAGCTAAATCTAGTAAAAAGGAGGTACTATCTTTCTCTCAAGTTTTCTATTTTCTATTCTTTCTAAACTTTCTAATTTCTTATCCAAAACTATATTCTTATAGGTTCTTTCTCTCTTCTTCTGGTTGTTTCGAACAACGCTGTTGTATCGCTTAACTATAGATAACCAACAAGTAAATACCGTTGAATCTCTGTTCGCTTAAGGCTTCATAGCGGGTCTTTTTCCTGTCAGGTTTAACTCCCCCTCCAATGTTAAAGCCTATAGCATGTAAAGAATGATTTCAATATAGTTCAAGTTTACCATGAGCTGTTTTGTAGAACTCGTATGTCTATAGATATGACTGTTAATATTACCTGAGCAACTGTTTTGTCGATATTATTCTCCCAAGGCTTTTCATTCAACTGATTTGATAGGAACATTGCTTTATATGTATTTCTATAATTTTATTTTATTACGGTCAATGTATTTACTCTTCATAGGGGTTTTGGGGTTTTGGGGTTTTGGGGTTTTGGGG